CCCCCCCTCCCTTCCTCCCTCCCTCCCTCTCTCTCTCTTGTATCTGGGAAGAGGAAAGACAGACTGGTGTTTTGACAAGATTCTGCCCCAATTCTGCAGACAGAAAGCTCAGCAGTGGGCGCGCCCCGGCCCCACGGGGGACTGTGGGTCCCCACGGAGCCCCCCGCCCCCCGGGACGGGTGAGGAGGCGGTCCATGGGGGAGGTGGCCGCACTGTTGAGATGTGGTGCGGGGATAGGGCGAGGGGCCTGGCTCCACAGGAGCTAGGTCATGGGGGGGGAGCAAGGCCCACGTGGCCAGGGCCCCCCACCCCCTTCCCAGGCCTCGGGACCCCAGGCCGGTGCCAGCCGGGAGGCACGGCCCTGAGCCTCACACCCCGCCCCCCCCGTCACCTCCCCTCCTGCCCAGGTCGGAGCGGATGGCACCCGCCAGCAGGGGAGAAGGTGGCAGGGCCGTGCTCCCACTCTGGAAAGTTCCATGGCACCCGAGATTCTCTGGGAGGCTAAACAACACCGCCGCTTGCTGGTTTTAAGACCAAGATGGCAGATGCCCGTGACTCACGCCTGTCATCCCAGCTACTCGGGAGGCTGAGATCCAAGGATCATGATTCAAAGCCAGCCTGGGCAGGAAAGTCCGGGAGACTCTGATCTCCCATGAACCAGCACAAAGCTGGAAGTGGGGCTGTGGTTCAAGTGGTAGAGCGCCAGCCTTGAGCACAAAAGCTCAGGGATAGCACCCAGGCCTTGAGTTCAAGCCCCAGGTCTGACTAGTAAACCAATAATAATAATAATAATAGATAATAAATCACATCATCTTGGATCTGAGTTTTATGGACTGGAGGCTCTTCCATGGTAGAGGTGCAGGTTGGTTCATTGTCTCTACAAAGATCAAGCCCAACAATGCCCGGAGCTGGCAGCCCGGCTGAGGCCCTCCCCCCTACCGCCCCCCCCCCACCGTTCAGCCTGCGTCCCCCCCTCAAGGTGGCTTTGAGGTCGCTCTCCGGGGCCGTGTTCCACTTCCGTAAGGACGACGGGAAGTTTGACCAACCGGCTGTGGAACAGCCCGGCTGGCAGGTCTCAGGGCCATTAATCACGGCCCAAGCACACTTTGGTTTTGGCAAATGACACCACGTTTGGTCGCCGTTTATAGCGGAGTCTTTTTGTTAAGAGCGTTTCGGCGGTTAGAGCAATCTGAGGAAAGGTCATGGATTGTGTATTAATAAAAAGAAAAAAAAAGCCGATCAGGGCAGCCCACCCTCATTTGAGCCTCGAGGGCATCAAAGTCAGATGACCCCAGGGTCGAGTGTGGTGGCCCACACCTGTAGTCGCAGCTACTCAGGGGGCAGAGGTAAGGCCAGACTGAGCAAAAGTGTGAGAGTTTATCTGAAAAATAAAGTGAAGCGAAGAGGGCTGGTTTATTCCCCCTCCTGTAATTTTTCTGAGTAGATGGAATATATAAATAGATAGATAGATACGTTGTTGTTTCGAGTTATATAAAAATCGTGTCCAGCTTTGCTCTTATAATCAATTTCCACAAAGGCGCCCGCTGCTCAGAGCCTCTCGGAAGCCTGCTGCTGTCCGCCCCTGACGGAGGAAGAGGAGCCATGGTGCTGCTAGTGCTGAAGTCAAAGAGGAATGGCGTGTGTGTGTGTGTGTGTGTGTGTGAGAGAGAGAGAGAGAGAGAGACAGAGACAGAGACAGAGAGAGACAGAGACACAGAGACACAGAGACAGAGACAGAAACAGACACAGAGACAGAGACAGAAAGAGAGAGACATAGAAACAGAGACACAGAGAGACAGAGACAGAGAGACAGAGACAGAGAGACAGACTCAGAGAGGCAGAGACACAGAGACACAGACAGAGAGACAGAGACAGACAGAGAGAAACAGAGACAGAGACACAGAAACACAGAGACATAGACTGAGACACAGAGACAGAGACAGAGAGACAGAGAAACAGAGAGACAGACAGACACAGAGAGACAGAGAGGCAGGGACACAGATACAAAGACACAGGGAGACTGAGAGAGAGGGAGACGCTGCATCTTCCTGCCGGTGTGGATCCACTAGTGGATCGAGGAGTGGGGGGGGTGGCCAGGGAGGAGGGATGGCTTTGGGGTCCCCCACGGGCCTGGCCATGTCTTGCGGGGTGGGGGGGCTGGGTGGGGGACGGGGGGGGGACGGGCCTCCGCCTCACTAGCTCCACCTGCTGATGGGCGGGCGGAGGCTTCCACTGCGCCCCCTCCTCCGTGGTGCGTGGGGGGGACGCGGGGGGGTGGCAGAAGGTTTGGGGGTGGCTGCGTCACACCTGGACCAGTGTGCGTGCGCGTGTGCGTGTGTGCGCACGCGCGTGTGGATGGAGCTAATCAGACTCTAGGCTACCCAGGGCTGTGGATTTCCAGAAGGTTCTGCGCGGATGGCTGAGGGCCGGCAAATCAGAGCGACCCTGGGGGAGCAGGTCGAGCCCCGGGGGCTGGGGAGGACACGGGGGAGACTGACGAGCCTCCGTGAGCGCGGCCTCCGGGCTCCCAAGGCTGCTGGCCCCGCCCGCTTCCCTCCGCCCTGGGCTGGCTGCCAGTCCCACCTCTGATCTCACTCAGCTCCAAACGCCCCACCCGAGCCCCCACCCCAGCCCCGTCCACTGTCCCGACCCGCACAGATCTGCGTGTACTCAAAATGGCTCCAGAGGAAAGTGTCTGGAAGGTTCTAGGGAGGGAGGGGACGATGGGACAGCGGGGTTGTCACCGGGCTGTGGAGGGGAGAGGAGGGCGCGGCTCCCACCATCCTGGGTGAGCAGGGGTGTGACCCCCAAGGTTCAGTGCCGACAGGGCCCGGCGAGCAGCCAAGGAGGGACAAACCTCCCCTGGCAGGGCCGGTGCGGGGGGCCCAGCTCGCCCGCAGAGCCTCTGCCAGGGCCCCCCATCTGCTCGAGATCCCTCCACGCATGTCCCCCCCAAGCCCCCGATTAACAGCAGGTCTCAACAGCGCCTTACTGTTGTCCAGGTGGTTGGCCTTGATGATCTTCTCCGAGTAGTCAGAAATACTGGAACATTCGATCTAGAGGGGACACAGAACACAGGATCTAGGGGTCAAAGAGAAGTGTCGGAATTCCGGCGTGTCTGCTCCAGGTCCCGCCCCGAATGCCCGCCCCAGCTCCACCCAGGCCTACCTGCTGCCGGCGCTCACCACTGTTGGGAGATGGCCGGAGCTTGAGGGGGTGTGGCCTACTGGGAGGAGGCGAGGCGATTGGGGGTGTGGCCTACTGGGAGGAAGTGAGGTCACTGGGGGTGTGGCCTAGCAGGAGGGAGTTAGGCCGTTGGGGGCGTGGTCTAGAGGGAAGAAATCGGATCACTGGGGGGTGTGGCCTAGTGGGAGAAAGTTAGGTCGTTGGGGGCGGGGCCTAGTAGAAGGAAGTGAGGTCTTTGGGCCTGGCCTGGAAGGGGTACTGGGGCTCCAGCCCCTCCTCTTCCTCTCTTGCCTTCTGTCAGCCATGTTTGTGTTCTACTTCCCTGGGGGGCCGGGCCAAGCCAGAATTGCTGCCAGCCTCCTCCTCTTCGCCCCAGCCCCAGGCTGGGAAATGCCCACTGGGGCGCTGGGCCCCAGGCTTCCTCCGGGCCTCTTCTCCCACAGCTCCTGTTCTGGCTCGGGGACCCCCCCCCAGAGTCCCCGGTGTCACCAGCCCGTGGCGCTGTAGGAGGGGAGCTTTCCTCTTTTGTTTTATTTTTCGAGCATTTCTTTTTTGGCCTAGGCCCGCGTGGACTTTGAGCCGCCTTCCTATGCCTTCCCCCAAGCCGGGACTACAGGTGCATACCACAGGTCAAAGGTGTATGCTACACCGCTCGGCTTGCTTGTTGAGACGGGGTCTGCTCCGTTTCCCTCCCCCCTTTTTGTTTTTTTCCTGAGCTAGCCTCTGCCTCCTCCTCCTGAGTCGCAGGGATTATAGATGTGAGCCACGGCGCAGGGGCGACATTTCATTTTCGTTCTCCTTGTGTTGATCTTTGTCCTACTTCTCTGGCTTCTCCGAGTCTCTCTAGCTTTCTATTTTTTTTTTCCTCCCCCTCTGTGCTTCTGTCTTCATTTTCCATCTCTGACTGTCCTCCTGTCCCCGGCTCATCCCGTGTCCCCCACCCCCACTCCCGAAGCGGGCATCACGGGTGGGCGGGGGGGGGGTGTAGAACAGAAGACACCGTGATCGGGGCGGCGTGGAGAGTCGGTGCCAAGTGTCTGTAGCTGGCGGGTGCGGGGTGGGACACCCCAGAAGACAGTCCAAGGGGTGAATGCTGCCCTGGCTGGAATCTGGGGGCCAAGGATTTGGGGCGCTTTAGTGAAGCTAGGAGCCTGCTGGGCCCCGTGGGTGGATGGGCTGCAGGTTTGCACACGTCCCCGTGGCTTCTCTGCCCGGGGGGGGGCACCTCCCCGAGCCTTAAGGCTGAGCACCTGGGACCCTGGGCGCCCTGCTTCTCCACTGCGGGGAGGTGGGGACTGGCCCAGCTGGCACGGGGCCCCTCACTGCCCTGGCCTCCCCCCAGGGCTTTCTGCTCCCCTTCCAGAGAAAGGCGGGGGGGGGACGGACAGGGGCTGGAGGGGTGCGGCCTGGTGGTTAGTGTTTCCTAGTGTGCATGAGGCCCTAGGTCTGAGGGGGAGAAAGAGACAGAGACACAGAGAGAGATACAGAGAGACAGAGACAGAGAGACAGAGACAAGGACAGAGAGACACAGAGACAGAGAGACAGAGAGAGAGACAGAGATAGAGAGACAGAGACTAAGTCAGAGAGAGACAGAGACAGAGGGACAGAGGGAAGGAAGGGGAGAGGAGGGAGCAGAAAAGAGGAGAAGGGGAGGGGAGGTCCGCGATGGGTCCTCCGGGGTCGGTGGGGCAGGGGGGCCCCGGGCGGGGTGTGGGGCGCCCACACTCACCCCGAACACCTTCTTGGCGCCCGCCTTGGCGGCGAACATGGACAGGATCCCCGTCCCGCTGCCCACGTCCAGCACCACCTTGTCCTTGAACACGTGCTTGTTGTGGTACATGGAGTTCCGGTACGTGAGCGTCCGCACCTCGTCCTTCAGCATCTCCTGCCGAGAGGGGAGGACGGGGAAGGGAAGGCCATCAGCGGGCTCCAGGTCCCCCCCCGCCGGGGGCACAGGGGGGCCGCAGCTCCCCACACACGGTCACACCGCTGTCCCCGAAGAGACCCCAAGGACTGCAAAGGCAGCCCCGCGCCAGTGGCTCACCCCTGTAATCCCAGCTACTCAGGAGGCCGTGATCTGAAGGATCTCTATTGGAGGCCAGCCCGGGAAGGGAGTCTGCAAGGTTCCGTCTCCAATTAACTAGCAAAAAGCTGGGCCGGAGGTGTGGCTCAAGAGGTAGGGGGCCCAGATGGTGGCAGAGTGGGGTTCATGTGGCCAAGCACTTACCTGGAAGTAGGCAGGGCCCCGGGTTCCAACCTCAGTCAGTTACCCAGAGGTGTGCATGCACACGCACCCACACACACACACAGGTGCACACCCACGCGCACACACACAGGTGCATGCACACACACTCACCCACGCACACAGCTGCTGCACAACAAAGGAAAGAGTGATCAGGGTGAAGAAAGAGCTGACAGACAGACAGACAGACAGACAGAGATCTTTGCCAGCTCTTCATCTGACAAGAGATTCATATCCAGAAGAGAGAAAGGAACTCAAAACATGCAATAGCAAAAGAACAAACAATCCAATTAATAAATGGGGCAGATGAGAAGAACAGACAGTTCCCGAAAGAAGTAGAAAGGGCCAAATAAATACATTTTATATTAAAAGAGGAGGAGGAGGAGGAAGTTCCGCCTCCTTTGTCATCAGGGAAATGGAAAACAGAAGCTCCCTGAGCTCCCGTCTCCTCCAGACAGGAGAACCATCACCAAAGAAAACCAGAAAAAAACAAGGCTGGGCATGGTAGGGTCCACTGGAGCCCCAGAGACAGGAGGTAGGATGTCTGGGATTACAGGTGTGAGCTACTGGCACCCGGCTTTGCTGATCTGGTTCTTCAAAGTCTGACTCACGCCTGTCACCCTAGCGACTCGGGAGGCTGAGATCTGAGGATCACGGGTCGAAGCCAGCCCGGGGCAGGAAAGTCGGTGAGACTTTCCTCTCCAGTAACCGCTCAAGAAAAAGCTGGAAGTGGTGCTGTGGTTTAAGTGACAGGGAGCTTTGTCTTGAGCATTAGAGAGGCTCAGGGAAGAGAGCCCCAGGCCCTGAGTTCGAGCCCTGGGACCGCCACTTCCATGTCGAATATCTTTGATTGCCTTACCTCGTGGATCCCGAAGTGGGCGTAGGAGTCGAAGTAATAGTCTCGCGAGGTCATCTCCTCCGGGTTGAGCAGCTTCGACATCTTCCCCCGGCCCGGGCAGCTGGGCTGCGTGGACACGTGGTGGACGCATTGCACCGGCTTGGTTGGGATGATGGCTTGTGGTGGCTGGGTGGGGGCGCTGCTCACCTGGGGGAGGGGGGGAGGGGAGAGGGGGAGGGGGCACATGTCAACAGAGGCCCAGGGTCCAGCCTGGGAGACGCTGCTCTGCCCACCTCCCCAGTCCAGTGCCAGCTCCGCAGCTGCTGTGTGGAGCTTGGTGACACCCTTTGTGCTCCCCGACCTTCAGATACACATGCTGGCTAAAGACCCAGATGGCCAAATCAACCTCTGTGTGTGTGTGTGTGTGTGTGTGTGTGTGTGTGTGTCGGTCGTGGGGCTTGAACTCGGGGCCTAGATACCGTCCCTGATCTCTTTTGCTCAAGGCGGGCGCTCTACCACTTGAGCCAAGGCACCATGTCCAGTTTTCTGGTGGTTTATTGGAGATCAGTGTCTCATGGACGTTCCTACCCCGAGCTGGCTTTGAACCGTGATCCTCCGATCTCAGCCTCCTGAGTAGCTGGGATGACGGGCGGGAGCCACCGGTGCCCAGCTCAACCTCTTTTCAAGTTGCCCATCTCTGTACTGGCATTTCCAGGGGCTCCGTGATGCCGGGTGTTGGAATTAACTGCCCTATGCCTGCGCTTTCCTGCTCTGAAATGGGAATGATGTGAGACGGAATAGCACTTTTGAAGTTCTTAAAAACAAGCCAGGTAGCTGGGCACCCATGGCTCACGCCTGTCATCCTAGCTACTCAGGAGGCTGAGATCTGAGGATCGAGGTTCAAAGCCAGCCTGGGCAGGAAAGTCTGTGAGACTCTGATCTCCAGTGAACCACCAAATAAAGCTGAAAAAAATGAAGCTGTGGCTCAAGTGGTAGAGGGTTAACCTGGAGTAGAAGAGCTCAGGGACAGTGCGCAGGCTCTGAGTTCAAGCTCCAGAAACTACACACACACACACACACACACACACACACACACAGAGGAAATTAAAAAACTAAACATAGAACCACTCGATGACCCAGCAATTCCACTCTTGTGCATTCATCCCAAAGATTACAAATCAGGGTTACAGCAAAACCACCAGCACAACCATGTTCACTGCAGCATTGCAGGTCTCTCTGGTGGATACCACCAGAGCCAAGGTATAGGATCAGCCCAGAAGCCCCCCAATGGACAAATGGACTGAGAAAATGTGGAAGAGGTACACAATAGAATTTTATCCATCCATTAGGGGGGAAAGAATGACATTGTGCCATTTGCAAAGAAATGGAAGGACCTGGAAAAAAATTATGTTACATGAAATAGGTCAGGCTGAGAGAGAGACAAAGGATGCATCTTTTCTCTCCCGTGTAGAAGCAAGATCTAATTTATAAATACCTACGCAAGTAAAACACACACACACACACACACACACACACACACACACACACACGGCGTGGTATGTGAGTGCACATAAACGTATTAACTGAAGTGTGATCTATGCAGTAGAGAATTCAAATGATGAAGCACCGGAGTAAAACTAATAGTCCACAAAATGAACATGGGGGAGCCGGCCTGTGACAGGTGTGGGGGTTTGGTCAAGGGGAGGGGGATAGAAGAGGGGAAGGAGGGGGGAGGGGGAGGAGAGAATGCAGTCGTAATATTCCACGCACATCCCCAAGAAGCCAGGAAAATCAAGGGG